ATTCCAACCCTCATTATTCTATCAGATTCTTTTTGGAGCTGGAAAGAGACCTTGGGAATTCTTTCTTCCAGCAGAATTTGGATGAACCAGGAGCATACTTGAGGGTGTGGGTGTGGGGGAGTGTCTGCAGGTGTGGAGTAGAGGTGGTATTTTCTAACGGACTGGGCCTTGCCACTTCCAAGACCAGTGGAAATGAGGGTCTGGCCTGGCAGAAGGGACCTGCTTCCTCACCTCCACCCTGAGCTCCTCAGACATGACAAGCCATGTCAGAAAGACATTGGAAAAGTGAGATTTGGAATGACCTGGGCAGAAGCTCATGCTGACTCTTTTCATTGTACACGAGTAGAACTGTGATTTTTCAGCCAGTGTTCTGTGAGTGGAGTCATCCTGTGCCTGCCTGGTAGGTCCTGAATCCAAATAGAGAGATCCAGCTGCGGGGCAGGTTGGATTCGGGGCCAGTTTGGTTTTGTGGCCCTGTATATTCAGGGCACTGTGTCAGGAGCTGCAGGACAAGTCTGGGCTGGTGATAAGGATTTGGGGAAATTATGAATTGCTTAAGGCCGCAGTTGGTGGTCCACCTGGGAGCACGGGGCGCCTGCTTTCTCCAAACCCAATTCCTCCTGCCGTGTCCTGCTGCTAAAGCTCTTCTTAACTAGTTCAGTCCCACCGGGAGACCCACTAATGAAGCGTTGGTGCCACAGTAACAGGTGTTTCCTAGGGCTGACAGCAGAGGAGAGGCACAGGGCAAAACTACCCAGAGGATCCATTGTTAGGGGCAAGAAGGAAGGGCACCAGGGAGGGAGGACTTAAAATATATATATATATTTTTGTTGTTGTTTGAGAACTGCAAGGAGATCCGTGTTTTAGGAAAACTTGGGAAGAAAACCACCCACAATTTTTCCACCCTAATACAGCTAATTATATTTTAACAGATTTTCTGTTTGTCTCAGGCAGTCCACAATACATAACTCACGTCTTTATGCGTACTTGGAATCACAGCTAGCCTATAGAGTTTGTTTACCTAACCTCGTACATTTTCCTTATTTCTGCCTCATCTTTGTAATTATTTTCCATAACGGCTGAGCAGTACTCTGGGGTGTCAGAAGGCCATCGTTCTGTGTCCCTGGGGCTGTGGAATGGGCTGGTTCCTCTCTCCCCCTCCTTAAGCTTGTGCTCTAGAGAACTTTCTGACACCTTCAGCCTTGTGCTTCTGTGCCCTTGCTGCCTTGGAGAAGCAGTTCCAGGAAGGGGACTTTGAAGTCGGTAATCCAGGCATGCAGACAGTTTTGATATTTGTTTTTACTTTTATTTATTTATTTATTTATAATATTTATTTTTTTCATTGTAGTTGGACGCAATACCTTCATTTCACTTATTTATCATTATGTGGTACTGAGGATCAAACCCAGGGTCTTGCATGTGTGAGGTGAGTGCTCTACCGCTGAGCCACAAACCCAGCCCCTGATTTTACTTTTATTTATATATTATTTATTTATATATATATATATAAAATATTCATTTATTTACCTGGGGCTGAGGGTTAAACCCAGGGCCTCGTTCATGCTAAGCCCACTACCACTGAGCTACACTCCCAACCTTGCATTTTTATATGTATCATGCAAATACAGATGTGCAAATAAAGCAGAGGTGTAGCTGAGCGAGTTATGAGGAAGCAGATGCCACTACTCGGCTCAAGAGACAGCTTCCTGCTAGCCAGAGCCCTCTGCGCTCCCTTCCTGCCAGGAGCTGCGTTACTCTGACTTTATTGTAATTGCTTCCGTGTTCATTAAGTTTTGTCACCCAAGAGTGCATCCAAGACATGACAGCTGGATTTTGCCTTTAAAAAAGGTCTTCTAGGGGCTGGGGTTTGGCTCAGAGGCAGAGTGCTCCCCTAGCATGTGTGAGGCACTGCGTTCGATTCTCAGCACCGCATATAAATAAATAAAATAAAAGTCCATTGACAACTAAAAAAAAATACACACACACACACACACACACACACACACAAAATATATATATATATTAAGCCTTTTAAATTAACCTATAGGAGTCCCCTCCATCTCTTCTCTTCCCTCTATTGTTTGTTGAAGAAAGAACCTGGATCATTTGCCCTGAGAGGTTTCTAGGACTTTCCCCAGGCTGGGTCTCCTGGAGAGAGGAGTTGGAGCCAGAGGTCACTCAGGTGGGTGTTCTGCTCCGGGCAGTACACAGGAGCGGGGATTCTCCTGCGGGGAAGTGAGTAGCCACTGGAGCCCAAGCGCAGAACCTTCCATTCATTAGGGGCTGCAGAGTGTTGAAAGGGCGGTTTCTCTTGTTCCTTCATTATTCGTTTGTTGGACTATTTCAGTAAAGAAAAACTCCACCCATCTGCTTTTTAAAAATAGCTTCATGGAGGTTCACATGTCCTACAGTTCACCCACCGAAAGTATGTAATTCAGTGGCTTTTGGTACATTTAACAGAGCTCTGCATCTGTCACCACAATTAATTTTAGAACATTTCATTGACAAAACGCCACTCCTTTTGCTGCCACATCCTAAACCCTCCAGCCTTTAGCAGCCACTAACCTAACTTCTGTCTCTATGGATCTGCCTACTCGGGACATTTTAACAGGCACATGTACAATATGTGATGCTGTGTGATTAGTTTCTTTCATGTCTTCTAGGTCCCTCCACATTGGTTGCATATGTCATTCCTTTTTATGGCCAAAAAATATTCCATCAGATACATGCAGTAGCATTTGTTTATTCATTAGTTGATGACTATTTGGTGCTACTTAACCCTTTGGATATGATGAATAATATTGCTAGGTAGATTCACGTATAAGTTTTTCACAAACATATGTTTTTATTTCTTGGGTGCATACTTAGGAATAGACTCACTGGGACGTGGTAAATCGTGTTTAACCATTTGAGGAACCATGAGACTGTTTTCCAATGTGGTTGCATGAGTTTTTGTTCCCATCAGCAATATTATGAGAATTCCAATTTCTCCAGTGTGTTTTGCAATGTCTTTTTAATTCTAGTGGGTATGAAGCAGCATCTAATTATGGTTTTATTTGCATTTTCCTAGTGAGTGATGATGGTGAGCATCTTTCATGTGTATTTTGGCCATTTGTAGATCTTTGGAGAACTATCTATATGTGTTCTTTGGCCATTTTTCAATTGGGCATTTGTCTTTTATTATTGAATTGTAATAGTTCCTTATGTATTCTAGATAAAAGTCCCTAGCAGATGTGGTCCACTCTCTATATCCATTTACTTTACTGACTTGTGGATCAAAAGTATTTTTTAAAAATTGCATCTGTGTTGAACATGTACAAACTGCTTTACTTGTTATTAGTCCCTAAATAATACAGTATAACAACTATTTACATAGCATTTGCATTGTATTATAAGTCATCTAGAGATGATTTAAAGTATACAAGAGGATGAGCATAAGTTATATGCATGTACTTCACCATTTCTATAAGGGGCTTAAGCATCTGTTGATTTTGATATTCTCAGTGGGTCCTGGAACTAGTCCTTCCTCAGATATAGAGCAATGACTGCATATGATTTGCAAAATATTATTGTATTTTGGGTTGCCTTTGTAGTTTCTTGGAAAAAAAATTTTTTTTTTCAGTGCCAGGGATTGAACTCAGGGGTAGGCACTTGACACTGAGCCACATCCCCAGCTCTATTTTGTATTTTATTGAGAGATAGGGTCTCACTGAGTTGCTTAGTGCCTCGCCTTTGCTGAGGCTGTCTTTGAACTTGTGATCTTCCTACCTTAGCCTCCCTAGTGGCTGGGATTACAGGCGTGCACCACTGTGCTTGGCTCTTGAGATCTGGATATCTTTTCAGAGTGTAAAAGTTTTGCAATTTGATGTCCAGTTCATTTTTTCTCTTGTGGCTTGTACTTTGGGTGTCTTATCTCTACACCATTGCTTAACCCAAGGTCATGAAGCTTGGTGCCTGTGTTTATTCTGAGAGCTTTAACTGTTTAACTCTCACGTTTAGGGCTGTGGTCCACCTGGAGTACATACACTTCTGTGCCCACTGGCCACCCGTAGCTGCAATTTTAGGCAGAGTCAGTGCTGGATTCTTCCTCTTCATTTACCAGTTTTGGTATTAAGGAGTTGCTTCTCTAGTATGAAACTGTGTGTTTCCTTTGTTGTTTTCTTTGACTCTTAGATTTAAACATATTTGCAATGGTGTAGTTTTTACTGAGCTGGGTGCCTTTGTTCTGTTGGAGCGATTACTGATGAGTACTTTCTGTTTGTTCAAGACTTCAATCTTCTTGGAATGATTTCTCATTTGTGATCTCCTTAGTCTTCCTAAGGAGAAGCTGGGAGAGCAGCTACCACTAGGCCTACTTTACAGAGCAGGAAGAGAAGCATAAGGAGAAATGACTTGTCCCAGGGCACAACCACTAATAAGTGCAGGACTTGAACCCTGGGTCTGACTCTTCTTGTGCTTGTGTCCCAGCTGTATGCCACACGGTCAAAACCCTGAGATAGACCTGGAATTTGAGTTTCAGTCCTAGTTCTGTGGTCTGTGATATGCAGGAGATCTTTTGTTCTTTCTGGGATTTGGTTACTTGCTCTGTGAGATTGGAAGAGCCAGTCCCAATCTAGAATTCTGAGCAGATTTCCTCATGTCACCTGCAATGAGAGACAGCCCAGGTCTTGCTGCTCTGGGGTGGAGCCCCATCAGGAGCATCTGATGGACAGAGCTCACCATCACACACAAATGTTGGTCCATATGGCTCCCTTTTTGTCAGGAGAGACTAGTGAGGGTTAGTGATGGTTATCCCCTTATATAGTTGACCTTTATTCTAGCATGTGATGTTTGAATTTCTTTAAGTATGAGTTTGTATTATACTTGAATAAAATAATTAAATTTGTAAAAACTTGTGTGCATGTATACAATGTAAAAGAGAGAAGTGGGTTTTTTTTAATCCTTTTGTTTCTTATCCGGCTCTCACACTCTAAATTTTCATCTACCCGTTTGTCTTCCAGAAACATGCCAAAGGCCAGGATTTGTTTGATCAGATCGTGTACCACTTGGACCTTGTGGAAACAGATTACTTTGGCCTCCAGTTCCTCGACTCTGCCCAGGTCACAGTATGTATTGCTTTAATTTCATTTCAGGACAGATTGGCTTTTGATGCTAATTGCAGATCCACAGTTGCTAGAAATTGGTAGAGAAAAATAGGAGTAAAACTGTGACACTGTTCCAGTAAGGAGCATTGGCAGCTGTGATAGTGCCTGAGTGGAGTACAGGCACGGTGCTGTGGGATGCTTCTCACTCCAAGACAGCCAACAACCAGGAGAACTGGTGCACAGGAAGCATTAAGGAAGCATTTCTGAGCATAGGGATGCACGGTGGACACATTTCTAGAGAATGTTGGAGGAAGAAGAAATATTATGGAAAATATTGCATCGGTATTGCTTTTATTTTTTAAGCAGCAAGATAGGCCTCCCCACCATCTTCTTATACAGCCTGGCTAGGTAGGGAGAGGGTCTTGTGAAGGTGGCTGAGGCCCAGCCAGGCTGGGGGGCAGTCAGAGCAGGCCGTGGCCCTGCACCAGGACCATCTTGCGGGCTCCAGGAGGGATATTGGGTCATCCCAGACTTCTCTTGCTGTCCCAGAGGCACAACTGCTCACAGTGGAGGTGCTAGAATGAGTGATCTCCACAGAGCTCAGAACCACTCTTTGGAAAGTAGCAATGACTTCATAGTCCCCCTTCCAACAAGAGATTTGGGTTTCAAAGATAATTAACTCAGTTATCTAAAAATGTTGGTTGAGGGCCTGTGATGCACTGGGCCCCATTCTGAGCATCATGGATAAAAGTGGTGATCACAGATGGTGTAAGGATAGGAGGGGACAAGAGGAGGCAGAGTTAAGCGAGGAAGAGTAAGAGGAGGAGTGGGTGCTGAGGCAGAGTGTCTTGAGGCAGGGGGTCCCTGGGAACACCTTCCAGCTGGATACCTGAAGCTTCTCATACCTAAAAGACACTTACCAGTTACCTCTGGGGGACCACATGTGACAGCTGTTAGCTGCTCAGACTGGTGTCTGGCCATTGGGGCTGCTGGAGATGCCCCGCCCTGGGGTGGGCTATAGAGTGGAATCTGGAGGGAAAAGCCCCTGGCTGTAGTGCCCCCTGGTGGTCCTCCCAGGTGGTGCCCTGGGCATCCACCTCTGCACCTTAGGACTTCCTGTCTGCCCTTACCCCACAGTTGCTGCCACCTTGGCCACATGGTCCTGATTCCTTCCCTGTCCCTCAGTTGGAGACTCTCACTGTGGCCCTGGGGGGATGCCTCCCTGTTTTTTGTCTCTGCCTGCCCTTCAGTTCTGCTTCCTTGGAGTTGAGCAGCCCCGGACCCTGCCCTCTGGTCTCAGGATTGTCCTTCACATTCCTCGGGGCCTCTGTGTCTCAGTTATTTTCTTCCCCTGGGCAACCTCAGGATTCTAGCTGCTGACCCTTCTGAGTATTCTGGGCACTGTTTCCTTTCATTTAAGCAAATCTGACTCAGATTTCTTTGGGGTCCTGTTATCACTCCCAGATCCAGAATCCTGCCATTCCCAATTTCATGGTATTGTCTCTCGATTCTGTCTTTCTGGCCCCTCTCCTTCTGGTCTTGGCTTTAAGGGGCCCTTCCTGTCTTATTCCCATTTCCCAGCCCCCCCCCCCGGCCCTCACCTCCCTCCCTGCCTGAGCCGAGCCTCAGCTGTCTCACTGTGTCCTCCCTTAGCCCTCGGTTCCCCTGCCCCCGTGTCTGCTCCCTGGCCACCCCTTCACATGCAGGCCCCTCTGTTTTCTCCGTGGCTTCTCCTGGGCTGCCAAGTGGTGCCGGAGAGTCACTGCTGTGCCCTTTGGCATCAGCAGAGATGACAAGTTCAGCAAAGTCCAAGCCCTGGACCGGTGCTTCGAGCCTTGCCAGACCCCCACGGGATGCCAGGTGCCCACAGTTCCCTTTCTAGGGAAGTTCTCCCACTGAGCCACACCCCAGCCCTTCACAGCTCCCGTTCTGAGGTGTGACCACGACCTCCAGTCCCCACCAGGTCTGTCCAGCAGCTGTCCTCACCTGCTGTTTCCTTGCCTTGTACCTCCAAGTTTCTCTTTCTCTCTCTCCAGCCTCTTGAGATAGAGAAAAGAGTCTGCCTATTCCTGCGCTTTCTCTCTGTACCTGCTGCCATGGTCCCATTCCAGCTGCTTCCTGAGCGCCACCATCAGAGTTCTCTCTCTGCTCAGTGTCCTCCAGCTGTCCTAGCACTGGACGCCTTCAGCCTCCTCCCTGAGCCTCCTCTCCGTTCTGCCTTCTGTGTGTCATAAAGCATGTGCTGTCTGTGGCTTCAGAATGTCTATAGCCCTGGCTCAGGAGTCAGGTCTGGACCCTGTTCCTGGCTCTGCTGCTGACCCATCGGGTGGGCTTAGATTGGCCACCTTTTCTCCCTTGGCCTCAGTTACCTCATCTGTGAAGTGGGGTTCTTGGACCTGTTTTCTAAGAGCTTTCCCTGTTCTCGGGGTCAGTGACTCTTGAGTCTGAGGGGGTGGGGCAGGCGCACTCGCCCCTCTAGTTGGGGAGGAGAAGGTACCACTGTTATTTGAGCAAGTGCCTGTTATCTTGGATGCATGTCCCATCCCCAGGTGACCCCTCTTCATCCGCTCAGCTTCCCAAAGCTGTGGATGTGACTCCATGGCCAAAGACTTTGCTGTGAACCTCTGCCAGTGTGCTGTCACTGTGCGTCAGGAGGGGTGTTCCCAGCGTGACTCAGGCATCCTTCCCAGGTTTCGAAGCCTCTCCAGCGTCTTGCTCTCTTGCAGCGGCAGGCAAGAGGGTGCAGGAGCAGCCGCCAGGACCCTTCCTGTCATCCTTCAGCTTCTCAGCCACATCCTGGTGGTCCACCCTTCTCTCTGTGCGTGGCATGAGCTGTCCCCCTCCCTGGAATGCCCTCTCGCCATCCTTCAAGCCATCTCAGCTGTCCCCCATTCATGAAGCATGTCCCCAGCTCCTAGAGTGTTTTCCTCTATGTAAACCTGGAGTTTATTTGCCTTCTGTGGTGGTTTGCTCACCTGGCCTCAGGTTTCTTATTTGAGTCTATAAACAAAACTTCATGACTAGATCCTAAAGCTTAGGACTTCCTTTTCTTAACTTGGTGACTCCTAGGAACAAGGCAAGCAAACTGGTACCTTCTACTTTACCCCGGAAGGGACCTTGGGAGAGGCATTTGTCAAACCTTTACATCTTCTGGATAGTGAAACCAAAGCCATTAGACCCTGGCAAGTCACTTAGTAACTGGTGCAGCTTGGACTCAAACCCAGGTTTTGTGATTTCACTTGTATGTGTTCATTCTAGTGCACTGTGCTCTTGAGTCTGCGCCTATCTGTAAAGTGGAGTAACACTTATTTCACAGGGAAATTGAGGAGCCCACAGTGGGTTAATGGATAAGAATAGATTTCTAGTATGGGTTTCTTAGTATATTTTGTGTTGCTATAATAAAATACCTGAGGCTGAGTACTTTCTAAAGAGGTCTACTTAGCTGGATGTGGTGGTGCACACCTGTAATCCCATTGACTTGGGACTGAGGCAGAAGGATTGCAAGTTTGAAACCAGCTTGGGTAATTTAACAAGACCCTGTCTCAAAATAAAAAGGGCTAAGCTAAGGATATGGCTCAATGGAAGAGTATCCTGAGCTCAATCCCAAATACTGCAAGGGAGAAAAAAAAAAGTCTATTTGACTCACAGTTTTAATGGCTGAAGGACCAGGATTGGGTGGCCCCATCTGGTTGGCCTCTGGTGAGGGCCTTCTGACTGTATCACAACATGACGGAGAAGCAGAAAGGGAAATGGCTGCATGCAGAAGGAGCCACGTGCATGGGGTAACTTTGCTTTACAATAACCCAGTCTTTATGAATTAATCCAGTCTGTAGAGACCTAACCCATTTTTACCAGGCAGGCATTGTGAAGATGAAGCCTCCATAACTAACTGCCTTCCATAGGCCCCACCTCTTATTTTATTTATTTGTTTTTTATGTGGTGCTGAGAATCGAACCCAGGGCCTCACAGGTGCTAAGTGAGTGCTCTACCACTGAGCCACACCCCCAGCCCTAGGCCCCACCTCTTAAAGGTCCCACGACCTCAACCCCGCCACACTAGGGACCAGGCTTCCATCACCTGAACCTTGTGGAGAGACAAACCACACCCAGACCATAGAAATCTCCTCCCCCTAGCTGGGCAGGCTGCTAGGGGCTAGGGTCCTCACGGGTGGGCACACTGAGAAGGGTATGGTAGCTGGGACCTGTGAGTCTATTCTGTGTAGGGGAGAAATGGCAGCACATTTAAACAAGACCCCTTTGGGAGAATCTGCTGAGATGGCCTATGGGGTGACATCCATTTTCACAGGGCCTGGGAGGTGATTGGATGTCACAGAGATGTATCTGGGGAAAGCAGACTAACAGATGGGAACACAAAAGGAAACTGTTCACTTGGCCTTTGGCTTACTGCCCCACAATTGAGGCTCTTTCCTATACATAGATCCTCATGTAGCCCCTGACATGAGGACCAGCAGGAAGTGGCAGGACTTTGGGCACAGCTGTCTGTATACCCAGCTTATACCTCCAGCTCCCTGAAAGAGCCAGGCCTGGTTTCCATAGTGCCCTGCCCAGCCTTGAAGCAACCGTCAAAGCCTGTTGGCATCATCTATTTTTAGCAATCGGAGCTGGGACCTCATGTTTCCTTTTCCTTGTTAGAAGGGAAGGCCATCCAGGGTCCCACTCTGTGGCTCTCACTTTGGTGCACCTCAGAGCAGGGGCTGGGAGTCTAATTTGCGTGTCAGAGCTTGCTTCCCCAAGCTAAGGGCTCTGGCCTCTGTGCCCCTCCAGCTTTCACATGCCTGGTCCTGGTAGCTGCTGTTTACTGAGCTCCACCCTGAACCAGGCATTGAATTAAGGGCTCTGTATAACTCTTATTTAACATTCATGACTGATCTGCAAAGCTGGCCATAAAGCAGACCCATTTTACAGGTGACAAATTTGCAACTCAGAGACATTAGGAACCTTGTAAAGGTTAAAATAAGGACAATGCCAGAACTCATTCCATTTGGTCTCATTCCAGAACCC